ATTCAACTTCATTTTTTAATCTTTAGCCCACTAGCTTATTTTTTTTCTTGCCTGCTGTAATTTTTTTGTCGAATCGTCAATGTTCGGTCCTACTGCCATTAATGCAGTATCGTCAGCAAAAGTGGCTACAGTAGCATTTTCTATTTGTGCTAAATCAATCGTGTAAAGCAACGCTGGGTACAACATACTGCCTTGAGTCATACGTGCTCTTTATTTCTCTTAGCGTGGAGTATTCAGCGTCTTGTTTAATTCTTAATAATCCATCAGTTAAGTAAGATTCCAAAATTGGTACAAATGGTGATGGTATCATTTCTCCTAACTTAAATATAAGGTCTTCGAATGCCTGTGCTACATCTAGAAATGTAGACGAGCAGATTTTCTTATTTTCTAAGTTTTTTTCTATAATATTCGTTATTCTATGAACCTGGTCTATTGTAAAATGGTTTCTTTTAAATTTAAAGTGTTGGTTAGGACCCTATTTCGTAATATTGGTTTCAATCTCCTTAATAGCAGTTTTTCAAAAAGCTTAGGTATCTTTGGTAACAGTGAAATGGGCCTGTAAGACTTAGTTTCCCTTAAGGATTTCCCGGGTTGGGGCACCATAATTACTTCTGCTACTTTCCAAGCGCAAGGAACATACTCAAAATCTATAGCTGCATTCATGATTTTCATCAAATGTTTCAATGCCTCGTCTGGTAGCTGAATCAGCACCTCCGCAGTATAAGATCGAAATCTGGAAAATTTTTCAATTTCAGGGATCTTATCTCTTCCGCAATTTCTACTTGAGTAAGTGGAGCTATGCTATATTCGGAACAGATTCCACTAAACTCACATCTGATGTTATTCTGTTTGGTGCGAAAATGTTTTCTAAGTGATCAGTAAATAATTCGGCTTTCTCTATATTGCTCCACGCCCAACTGCCATTTGCATTTATCAGTGGCGAGCGTGCTTAATCGGTCTCTTTCCCGCCTCCATAAGGTTAATAATTCGTTTTCTTCGTAGCCAACAAGTTCTTTATATAATTTTCATATTTTGCCGATTTATGTTCTTGAATTTTTCTTTTCAGGCGTTTAAGGAAAGTCTGTTTAAAACATTTTTATTATCCTGATTACGCGAACGTTCTTTTTTCTTTACTATAGCTAATAATTGTATGAAATGATGGACTATCTTAAGTCAACAATAAATTTGTCCGTAAAGTCCCTTCCGGGTCCGGAAATTGCTCTAGAAATCTCTTTTTCCTTCATAAATTGTCACATATAGCTATGAGGCATACTTGAAATATGTGGCAACTAGATCAAATTCTTTCGAGTTTTATTTTTGGAGGTTCTAACATTCAAGGTTTTGACTTCATAAACAGGGTATACGGAAAAAAATATAGGAAAGATTTTAGCTAATTTGAAAATGTATTAGGGGACCATATAAAACATGTAATTCATTTGTAGTAGATGGCTCTATTTATATTATATATCTTTCTTTCTTTTTTTCAAAATACACAAATTTCAATATTTACTAATATTCTATGATAAAACTGGCTTCACATTTTCAAGATCCATTGCAAGAAATTGCTTTAATTTTGCTCTATTACTAAAGATCTTTGTAATAAAGGGTTGACTCTGCGGCAGGCAGGCAATCCTGGCTCCCACAGTGGAAGAAGGCAGACAACAGAAAGGCAGCGGTTGCACAAAGTCAGCCTACTAAGACTCGACACCTAAATGGGTCTGACTCTCTTCGCTGATGCCAATTCCACAAGCTCAGTAAGGCAGCTCCAGACCAGCTTGGATGTAATCTGAGCCGACTAGAGCGCCCTGCTATACTGTTTGAATATATAGATGGAACTGTTGTTATACCCGCTTTTTAAATTAACTCTCAGATAGATTTCAATTGAAAGTATTTCGGCTTGAAACACTATACACCCGAACCCACACATGCTCGAACCCGACTCAAGTACCGGGCCAATTCGATCCCACGTCCATCGATCGGCAAACAGAACTCTGTACCAGCAGTCGAAATTAAACCGTGGTAAATAGACATCCGACATGGTTGTTCTCAGAAACGACATGGCGCGAAACGGTGGAAGCTGGCCATATTGCCCCGGTCATGCCCAGGCAGGCCAACATCCGCAGCTTTTACAATTTGGCCCATACACCCGCTTGCTGAGCTTTACGGCGCCATAAAACTAACGCGTGGGTGACGATGGGCCTAGAAAGAGACTTATGCCGAAGATAACGATAAGTTATGGTGAACTTTAGAATCCTACCTTGTAACATCCGATTAATCCCTCTGCCCGTCGTCACCACAGTTGATGTGATATGAGGTGTTATCAAAAGCATCCTAAATATCAAGGAAGCAGCCTCTCGCGCTTCCAGTGAGTTTTCGATGACCTCCACTGTACTCGTACTATTACTGACATGGGGGCATGAAGGGACAGAAAGTTGCTTGGTTTCTTACCTGTCTTTGGAATAAACGTCACTTTAGCCACCCTTCATGCCTGCAGGATGTAACCCGATACGTAGCTGGCACGAAAAATTTTCAACAACGCTCTAGTGATATGTTGGAAACTTTTCTGCAAAAACGCAGGACACATCCCGTCATCACCTAGAGATCTGAAGAGACTGAAAGATAAAACAGCCCATCTAATCCTGTACATTGTTAACACCGGGCGGGAGCGTTGCCAGTCATCTCTCATGGGCCAAGATGCCGTTGGTTCAATGACCGCATTTCAGTGATCGAGGAATTTCCGAGTCAAAAATTGCGTTGAGACCAGGTCTGTTTTTTGTTCTCAGTCATAGAGCCATCAGGCAGTTCTATCAGACCAAGCGCGCAAGCATACTTTTTGGAAAGCACCCTGTGCAGATGCGCACTGCTGGGGAGTACATCAATGCCCTTGTGTTTTTCTTATTTCCTTATTGTATTTCGTGAGAAAGCTCCTTCCACGAGCCCGACGAGTTGGCCTTATTGAAGAGCTTTCTGGCTCATAGTTTAAGCCTCGAAAGCTCCTCATTCAACCACGGGCACTTTCTATTGCTTCGCTTCGGGAAAGTGGGACAGGTCCCATAATAGGCACTAGCAATAGTCGCTATCAGGGAATCGCTGGCCAATTCGATATCCATCACTGTTCTGACAGAAGCAGGAATGGATTCAACCCCATCCATGAGGAGCGTTTCGAGTTGACTCCAACCTACGGATTAAAGCACGCAGTACATTTCTTCTGCTAGGCCCGCGGAGACCATGATATCAAATTTAATCTGTCTGTGGTCGGACAGTGATGTTTCATTTCATATACCTATTCTAATGCCGACAAACCTAATGCAAAGGGTGATGTCAAGAGCTTCTTCCTCAGTTGCATTTATGAATGTCGGTCTATTTAGCTCATTTCCAGCCGTTAATTTGTTGCTATATATAAATTCAAGTACGCATTCAACTCTTTTATTCATATTATTGCTCCTACAGACGGAAGCAGTAATATGAATAAAAGAGCATTCTTCCTGTTTTACGCACCTGTAGTTTTTTCTCTTCCAGCTTATGCTCTGTTATTTCCGCCACAGGTCCAGCACTCCCTTTTGAAGTGGGAGTTCCATCTGTTTTAGCAGCAGCATTTAAAATCGATCCATGTTCTCCAGTAAAAAAGAAAATTAAGAAAAAGATGGAACTCCGGTTTCCGTAGACCTTCCAAAATGAAGCATTCCCTGCCCGTTTCTCTCTGGGTTGCTGTAGTTTCTTCAACCGGCGTGAGAAGAAATTCTTCCTCTGCGTCGGTCGAAATAGGTTCCGGTTCCGAAGACCTTGGACCACCGATAATTTTATTACCGGCCATTTTTTGCTGCCCTTGTTGTCTTTGTTTTCCTTGTTGCAGTTGTTGTCCTTATTGTTGTCTTTGTTTTTTTTATCGTTGTTATTGTTGTTTTTTGCTTTATTGTTTATGCTATTCCACTTTAACTTAGGGCGCCGGCTGACGTATATATATTAGGCTTAAGTTCACAAAGAAAGGGATTCGCCGCGAGACATGACCACGCCACGAATTTAAATTTGCTCATTTCAATTATCTTTTTACCCGCCGCTATTACTAGGAGTCACTACTTGGAGGTGACAGTAAGATTTTGTGTTTCAACACCCTATATATACATATTTGTATAATTTTTTACATTTATACACACAAATTTGCAACTAAAATAAAAATAAAATAAAGTTAGGTCAAAAAAATGGTTTGTATAAAGCACAAATTAATTTCAAGAATGGCTAACATAATGATCGATTTTAAGGGTCAATTGCGCGAGTTAAGAAAAATAATTATATTTTTTAATATAATTATATTTTTTAATATGTTAGCTTTTTGCGTTTATAGAAATTTGAAAAAACTTGCGGTTTCGAAAATACAAGGCGTCTAAAATTCAAATTTTACAAATTTCAAGGGGCGATAACTTCAGAGAACGATAAATTTGAATGGCCATAACTTAGGTAACGGTAAATTTCAATGGCCATTTTGTTTTTTTTAAGTTTAACTATAGTATACCGCTCTAGGGGAAGTAAGCCACTGTCTTTCTGCGTTTGCAAAATTTGAAAAATGCTTATGGTTTCACTGCAATAAATAGTTAAAAAATGGCATTTTTTAGGTTTTGTGTGGGTATAACTTCAGAGGGGGATAAGTTTCTAGTAAAGGTCTATGTACATATTAAATTTCAGCTTTCTATCTTCAACGATGTAGAAGTTTTGTAAACACGTTCGTGAATGGGCGGACAGAGGGACAGAGTGAAACTAATAAACACTTTTTTCAAAAAATTTTTTGGAAAAGTGCTAAAAAGTAAGAGCAATCAATGACGTACTAAGAAGAATTGCAAAGAAAACGATATAAAAAAGTTAAGTTTTGTAAATTAGAGCATAGGCAAAATATTGAAATTTTGAGAAAAAGTTTTCCTAAACAATCGTAATGATTTTGCGGCGATTTTTATTTTCATTGGCACTTTAGAATTCTAAAATCATTAAAAATTTTATAAATATTTTAGACGCTCCTGTAATTTTAACTCTACCACACATGTTAGGAGCAGCCAATGAATACAATACAATGGTCCATGGTTTGAAACCAAATATGAAGAAACACAAAACATTTGTGGACGTGGAAATCGTAAGTAATATTTCTTAGAGATTATTTCAGAATTTTTAATTAAAAATAGTTTAATACATGCAACCGAAATATCTAGGGTGCTCCGCGACTAGTTTTACAGCAACCACTCACTTGGTGATTTCTTTGATTTTTTTTAAGAAAAAAATTTGTTGTATTAGAGATGAAAGGATATTTGTCAATGTCACAATTTATGTGTTAAGTTTTTTATATTTCTATCGCTATATTCAAAGTTTTACTTCTATGTTCCTATAGAACACTAGTTTTTTTACAGATATTTAAAACGTTCCCTACACGAATTTACATTTTATCTAACAATAAAGTTGGGTCAAACCAATGGTTTGTATTGTAGCACTTTTCCCTTCAACAAGTGAAAATTCTACTTTTAAATACAGTCAATGTATGCCTATCATACTATTAAAATTATTTTCATTCATATACAAAACTATTTCTAGAATTGCATGTATTTAGGATGATGCATACATGCAGTCTTTAAAATAAAGCAAAAATTAATATAAAGTGGGGTTAACATAATGCTCGATTTTAAGGTTTAATTGCGTGAGTTAAGAAAAATAATTATATTTTTTAATGTCATGGAATTTACCGTTAGCTTTTTGCGTTTGTAGAAATTTGAAAAAACTTACGGTTTCGGAAATATAAGGCGTCAAAAATTCAAATTTTACAAATTTCAAGAAGCGATAACTTGAGAGGGGTGGTGGACAAAAATTTTCTTCTAACGAAATGAACTATTTGTAAATGTCAAAAAGCTGGTAAAATTTTAGGCTCCCACAACCGGGGTTCTAGAAGAAAAACAACATAAAAATTTTGAAAAAACGGATTTTAGGTAACGGGAAATTTGAATGGTCATTTTGTTTTTTTAAAGCTTAACTATAGTATGCCGCGATAGGAGAAGCCTCTGTCTTTCCGCGTTTGCAAAATTTGAAAGGTGCTTATAGTTTCACTGCAATAAATGGTTAAAAAATGGCATTAGGGTTTTGGGGGGGCATAACTTCCAGTAGGAAGATAGGTAAAAATGTTCCACGGAAATAAGTTTCTAGTAAAGATTTATATACATATAAAAATTCAGCTTTCTATCTTCAAGGGTGTAGAAGTTTTGTAAACATGTGCACGGAAGGACGGACGGACGGACGAACTAAGTGAAACTAATAATCACTTTTTTCAAAAAAGTTTTGAAAAGTGCTAAAAGGTACCCATTACGCGAAAACTATGAATGCAAAAGTGTATATATACTATTGATATTTGATTTTGACTTTTATTTTGAAAATGAAAACTTAGATTTCAATAATGCATAGTTCTAAGAAATAAAGCTAAAGAAACTTTGTTTTTGTATTTAAAGTACTTTGTTTAAGAGATTTTCGCCTAATAGACATATTAATCCTCAGATTTTTGCAAAATTGTGTTATAATAAAATGAGAATCAGAATGCAGGTGTCCTTTCTGCAAAGTTGAATGACAGAATGTAATTGTGAGTAAATGACGATTAAAGTAAAATTTATTTTTTTTTTTTTTAATTTTTACTTCGCACTTAAAATTCTCTGAAACTAGAAAAAGTTTTTGACGCCACTGATATACCTACCGTTCGAAGGATATTTTAATGGACTTCAAACGAATATAAAAAGTTGACTTTACCTATCATATTATCCCAGTTATTAACAAAAATGTATAGTTTAGATGGTTCAAAAATTCCAACGTCATATATGTTAAATTAAAACCAGCATCCTGTTTATATTAACTGCCCTACAGATATTCGCGATCAGTTTTTCCGTTAACACAATGGATTGGCGCAAGCTTACCAAATAATTCGCGAGCTGGAAAAATTTAAAATTGATTTTGAATAAGGAATGGAATATCGACAAATGGTTTACATTCATTTACAATATTAAATTCCAAAAGCGTGGGCTTTCGTGAAAAGTGTGAGCTGAGATCTCGAAAGCAGTCACTGACAATCAATTACATGAAATTGTTAAAAATTCACGAAAAAGTATGTCTACAGACGCCATGGAAAACCAATCATTATTATAAGTTAAAATATATTATTGGTTATTATAATTATAGGCTAAAATATTCGGTGTCAAATTTTGAATTTATTGATAATGTATGAAAGAAATAAAAGATCAAATGGAACATCAGTAGAAAGCCGAATCAGTGGGAAATATTTTGGAGACCTGTAGACGTGATAACAGTAAATTGTTAATTACTGATTACAAAGTTTTAATACAAAACATTAGATTTTATATTTACGGGACAAGAATTAATACTACCTTTTCTCCTACTTTTAGGTGCCAGTTCATAAGTGATTCTGTATGAGAGCGACAGACCAATATAAAAACCCTCAATAAATTCTGATAAACCCTTACAAAAGAGAAAAAAAGAGTATTTATGAGGTTTTAGGAAGTGAATCAGAAAATGATAAAAATATTATAGAAAAACTTATAAATTGTGATTAATAACGGTTGAATATAGAAAAAGAAAAAGTGAGGGCATGAAAGAATTGAAAAAATTTATTTAAAAGGTTCCTGGAAAAGTAATATGTAATTTTGTAATAGACGAAAAAGTATTCATTAGCACTGAAGGTAAAATTATGTTCATGTGTAACCTTTAGTATAGTAAGTTATTTAATAGAGGTTTCAATTATTATTTAAAAAGATTAATGTATTAATCACCCATATTCTTTAATTTAAATTATCTTAAAGTGATTAATTGAATTTACTTAAAGTAAAAGGTAAAGAAGTTATTCTTCAAAAGATTTGTGGGTTTAAAACAGAAGTTGAAAAATACATACTTAAAACTCCAAGTTTTAATAATAACTTCTTTACTTGGCGTATTTAGTTGAATAGGGGTGAATAATAAAAAAAAGCTCCACAGTACAGTAAGTTCTTGAAAAAAAATTCATTTTTGTAAATAAAATTTCTAAGAGGAGTGTTTATATACTAAAATTAAATCTTCTTTAAGTTAGTATAAAATATCGGGGAATTGTGGTAATGAAATAATATATTTTATGGTTTCAATAATTAAAATAGCACCACGTCCTCTTGAATGTTTACCATGGTTACCAGGGTGAGTTGTCCTATAGCATCCATAACTCAGCATATCCAAGTCCTTTCCCAAGTGCGTTTCTGGCAACGGATATTCATTAAAATTTTTAAGCTCTAAGAAAAACCTCCAACCTTAGAACGCCTTTGGCGTACCAATTCCTGCTTTATTTACTGCCATTTTTCAGAAATCGCTTCGGAGTTGCTATACACTTCAGTGTATCTATTCTCTATAGCAGTTACTCTCATTCTCCCTATTCTCTATAGGAGTTAGTCCATTTTGGAAGTAAGTTTTATATACTCACATGTGAGACACCATTTTTTACCTTATTTGATGTAAAAGCATTAATCGTTTTTGGGGTCCCTTCATGATTACCCAGGACCCGTTTAGGCCGATTCCTTTTCATTCTCCTTTTTATACCCTGCACTTCGTGAAGGGTATATTAACTTTGGTATGGAGTTTGTAACTACTTGAAGGAGTCATCTGCGGTATGGACATATATATGTATTCTTGCTCAGCGTAAAATTCTGCGTTGATTTAGACATGTCCGTCCGTCCGTCCGTCCGTCCGTCCGTCCGTCCGTCCGTCCGTCCGTCCGTCCGATCGCACGATAACTCAAAAACGAATAATGCAATCGACACCAAACTTTCACAAGTTGCTTCTTTTGTGCCAAGGACGAACCCTATTGTTATTGGACCAATTCGGACAACGGGTTCGGGTGCCTGCCATACAACTCCAAAAGCAAATTTTTTATATTCGGCAAAATAATAAAGTCAGATTCATGAAACTTGACAGTTGTGTGTCCAATTATAGGTCAAAGATATTTCTGAAGTTTTGGTGGAATTGCTTGACAGGTTCGAGTGGCTTCCATACAAGTCCAAAAGCTTATTTTAAATATTTGGAAAAGAAATAAAGTTAGATTCATGAAACTTGGCAGTTGTGTGTCCAATTATAGATCAGATATACCTGCAAAGTTTTAGTGGAATTGCTTGACAGGTTCCGGTACCTGCCATACAACTCCAAAAGCTAATTTTAAATATTTGGAAAAATAATAAAGTCAAATTTATGAAACTTGGCAGTTGTGTGTCCAATTATAGATCAGATATATTTGCGAAGTTTCAGTGGAGTTGCTTGGCAGGTTCGGGTACCTGCCGTACAACTCCAAAAGCTAATTTTAAATATTTGGAAAATAATAAAGGCAGATTGATGAAACTTGGCAGTTGTGTGTCCAATTATAGGTCAAAGATATTTCTGAAGTTTTGGTGGAATTGCTCTACAGGTTCGAGTGGCTCCCATACAAGTCCAAAAGCTTATTTTAAATATTTGGAAAAGAAATAAAGTAAGATTCATGAAACTTGGCAGTTGTGTGTCCAATTATAGATCAGATATACCTGCAAAATTTTAATGGAATTGCTTGACAGGTTCGGGTACCTGCCATACAACTCCAAAAGCTAATTTTAAATATTTGGAAAAATAATAAAGTCAAATTTATGAAACTTGGCAGTTGTGTGTCCAATTATAGATCAGATATATTAGCGAAGTTTTAGTGAAATTGCTTGGCAGGTTCGGGTACCTGCCATACAACTCCAAAAGCTAATTTTAAATATTTGGAAAAATAATAAAGTCAGATTTATGAAACTTGGTAGTTGTGTGTTCAGTTATAGGTCAGACATATCCGTGAAGTTTCTATAGAATGGTTTCACAGGTTTGAGTAATTGCTATACAACAATGAAAGGTGCAGGGTATAATTCAATCGGTTCATACCGACTGAAACGTTTTTACTTGTTTATAATTCCTTAGCCACTAAAGAGCCTCGGTAACTAACAGGGTGTGCCTCGTTACAGTGTGCGCACCTGGCCCGAAAATTATCTTACTTATTACATTCTGCCGTTATATGATTAACAGCACATTTAACATATTTAACCCCCCTTTGGCAAAATCTCTGTGTATGACCGAACATCTGGCATCTCTTGCATTGCGGGATGGATCCATTATTTCTAAGACGCTCAACTTTTACTCTCATGTACTGAAGATATTCTATTTTATATATTATATTTATGCCTTGGGTATCATCGAAGGACAATATAAAGAGAGGTAACTTTTTAATAGTATTTACATAATTTTCTTTTATTTTTTTAATTTTATTTATGGCATCTACGCACCTGAATCCCCTTTTGCATAAGTTCACATTTAATATTCTGTGGCTCACATGATGGATGTAGGTTTCTGACCATTACTTTCCATTCCAATTTGGCCTTATTAAGAGCTTTAGTTAATTGTCTATATTCATTTTCTTTTTCAGCATTGATTTTTAGTTGATAGTTGCTCATCATGTTTACTTTCATGTTAATACTTTTTTCTTTGAAGATCCTTATCAGCTACGTGTAATTAGTTACATTACTCACCGGTGGAGGTTTATGGTTTTTGAGTTGAGTATTCCTCTTTTGTGGAGATTTTCCCACCCTGGTGCTATTAATTTCTAGTGTCGGTTCCATTTCTAACGAACTCTTGGTTTTTTTCTTCTTTGAGTGTTTTTTGATTTTAAGAATTCAATCGGTTTCACTAGCCAACAGTTCCCCGTCTGTTTCATACGCGATCACATCTATTTGGTCTTTCTCGGTGGCATTTGAAACTGCTTTCTGCTGTCCCAATAATCTTAAATATTCTGCCTTAAGTTTGCAGATCTCTTCTTTCAGCTCCTTAGGCAGGTTCTCCAAGTCGCTTATACGCGAATAGATCATTGATTCCGGATGTAACGTCCCTTTTACCTTCAGAGGTCTTATTTTTGTTGAGACCTTCTCTCTATATAATCTTCTATGGTTTTTCTTCTAACTTCCCCCATAGGAGAAGACTCTACAACCCTTGAGCTTTTGGCAAACGGGTTCATTAATTTCGCTAGGTGATCTTTTTTTTTCACTGGCGACTTCTCTGAACGTCTTGAACATTCTGCCAAGCCCTCGTCGACAGCCGTGATCTCTGCCGATACTTTTGTACATATCCCTACCGCATTTACGTTCTTATTATTGGACCTTTCATTATTCTTTATATGTTATAATATGACGATTAACCCAACCAGGGTTTTTTCAAACGCCCCTCTGGGATCAAACGCAGACCAGGAAGACGTCTATTCTGGATCAGACGCGGCTGGATTATATCCGGATTTTAGTGGATTCGTATCACAAACATGCATGCTTAAGCTATTTCTACTGCCAAACCCAGCGCGGATAAAAATGACGAATTATGAATAAATAATACATGCAATATCATAACTATGCTCCATATTATTTCCATATAATAAAAAATTACGTTCCATATTATTTTTTGAAACTATGCATTACTTTGGCTATTTTAATTACAGCTTGCCATAAAAAAGCTTAGGTTTAAAGATGGTTTAAAAATTTTTTTCTTTCGCAATATGGGGGTCACTTAATATATAAGTATAACGTTTGTTACATTGATGAAAATAAACCACTATTATTATTGTTATTATATTTTGTTTATTTTTCTCTTTTGAATATCCCTTGAATATCTTAAAATTGGACAGCACTATAAAACTTTCTTGTCATATGCACATATCATCAAATGGCTCATTTTTTATTTCCCAGTATCACAAAGGCCTCTTCTTGGAGGAAGAAGAGTTCATATGGACTTCTTATCCACTTTCCAAGGCATTATCCCTCACGAAGCTTTTACTTTATGTGAAGGTGTTCAAATCATATTCGATAAAGTCATGATGCTACCGAAATAATGGCCCATGATGTATTGATCTTCTGCTTCGTGAGATAATATAGAGTGGCCAGTCATTTTAAGGGAAAATGTTTATTATACAGCAGCAATTTTGTTATGACTTCACTTTTGGCAAAAGTAAGGGTCAGTTTGATTAGCAGCTTTTTATAGTTGATGAAGGAACTACTCCGAATTTCCCTGCACTTTAACATCCACGGTTTATCCAAATCCCTCTTTCTTGCTTTCATCCTAGATGATTCTTACCATTCACCATTTCCGAGTAATTCCTGCCTTTTGTATTACAAGATAAAAACTTATTTCATAAAAATTTTTGAAAATCACATTATCAAAACTACTTTGCAACTTCTCCTATCTGGTCAAGAAGAACTTTATTTCAAGTTCTACGTAGCCTTCCGAAAAAACTTCAACATAAGATAAAATATTTTTATACACACGGACAAAGTCAATTGTTAAATGATGGCCGCAATTTTACTTACAATGAAGTATTGCAAGAAAAATTGCGCTGACAAATTGTCGTATTCGAGATAATTGCATAATTATTGGATATTAGAAAGATTTTTTTTTACTGGAAAAGTTATTTTTTCTGATGAGAGCAAATTCAACATTTACAGCAGAAACGGTCGAATTCAACATTTACAGCAATGACGGTCGAATCAAAGTGTGGCGAAAATATAACACTAAACTGAATAAAGAAAATTTATGTGCAACATAAAGGTGGTGAAGTAATGGTATGAGGTTGTATGGCCACATCTGGAGTTGGGGAGCTTGTGTTTATTGAAGGAACAATGGACAAGATGATGTTCATAAATATTCTTAAGGAAAATCTTAAGAAAAGTGCAATCAATTTGGGTCTTGGTAATCATTCTCATGTCCTTAAACACACTGCACATATTGTAAGAGGGTGGATATTATATAGTGTTTCCGCCACTCTAAAAACACCTCCCCAATCTCCAGATATCAATCCCGTTGAACATTTATGGGATGTTTTAGAAAAAAGGGTTGGAATTCATCACATTACCTCTAAGACCCAATTGAAGGATGTTTTAGCAAACGAATGGGCGAATATTTAACAAAGTATTACTCAAAATCTAGTCAATTCAATGCCTAACAGACTAAAAGAAGTTTTGAAACGAAAAGGAATGCCTACTTCATATTAGTTACTATTATTTTTTTATATATTAAGCTAAACCATGTTCTGTGCCTATAATTTTTTCGCACCGAATTTGCCTTAAAATTTTTATTTAATTATTTTTTGACATTTCGGTTACGAATTTAAAAATTTGTTATTACGTATTGAATAAAGAATGAATTAATGAACAAATTTTACTTTTAGTGTTTTTTGTAGAGTTTATATTTTTTTCAGAAATTCGGTTCAAACATAAAATTTCTAGCTGTGCTATACTTTTTTCGGTCAGTGTATTATTTCATGAAAAATGTTATAAACGAGATCTCACTTTTTTACTCACTTGCTTCTAAAACCCAGCCGTCCATTTTTGTAAATGAAATATTTAGAAAAATCGCCTAATGACAACATTATCCGTACAATATTTTGTAAATTCCCACAAAATTTCACAAAAGCATTTTCGCCGAAGTTCTATTTATAAAGTTATATCATAAAATTCATAATTTAAAGTCAATTTTTCTGTTACTTGTAATCAAATTTTGGTTTCCATGTTACCGAACTAAATACACCCATTGTATATAGAATTAAAATAAAATATTTATTTAACTTGATTACGACGTAGGAATGATTGTGACCCCGTCAAAAAGAAGTAGTGCTAGTCTATAATTATGTAATATGTAATATTATTTCATCTTAAGACGAGATATATGATATATGAAACCATATGACTGTAATGTACAACTTAAAGTTGAAAAGTAGAATTGGACAACAATTTTAACTTCAGCAAAGTTCTTGCCTTCAATAGATGTGAAGGAAAATTGTTCTTATATCTTAAACCTCCTATTATATCTATTTTGTAATCTAACTTATTTAGGACCAAAATACATTGGAATTTTTAAAACTGCTCTATTTTCGTTGTTTATTCGTTTCGTCATGTTTCGTGTTGTAAGTGTCGCAATATAAACGTTTTGAAGGATGAGAAACTCAATCTTGGATTGAAAAATTCAATTTTAAATTGAGTCAGTACCAATTTTCATTTCTTTGTTGCATATAAATTTCACATATAATTTTAATGTACTCGTACATTATGTATATAAATAAATAGTTTATATTATCCTATTTAGTATTTAAACAAATTCTTTTGCAGAACACAGGAATTCCTCTTAGAGGCGGAAAACGCATTCAGTTCAACATGTTTCTTAAACCAATTAAGAGAATTAAATTAACAGAAAATTTGCGAATATCACTAGTACCAAGCATATGGATTGAAGAAGTAAATAAAAATTTAGTATATTTTTGCAATTAAATTTTTATAACATTTGAACCAAAACACTATTACACACATTTGTTACTGTGTATTACATAATGTTTATTTAAAGTTGAATATATGTACTGTAAATTGATAGGTTTTAAAAAGAAACTTGTTTTTTCCTTTCAGGGCATTGCATTGAGTCCACAAATGGTTCGCACATTAAAATCAAAATTGATTAATACTTTGGATATATTGAACACTATATATCTAACAATATTGGTATCTGGAGTCGGTTTGACAATTATGTCAAGTTTTTTATATTGCACTTGTGGAAATAAAATAATTATTAAAACAGATCATTTTCCAAAAGTCGTGGATGCTCCCACTGATTTAAACAATGTTAAAACGAAAAAAAAACATCCAAAATAAAGAAATAGCAAATACAAAAATTGAATAAATTTTCTGCATTAAAAGAGTAATAAGAATAATTATCTAAAAAAAATTTTAACAATTTTCACAATAAAATATTAACAGAACACTAAATTTTCTAAAAACATATTACAAAAACATATAACTTTTTAAATATTAATAAATTTTGAGCCCTGTTTCCCATAGACTAAAATTTGTACCTTATTACATTTTGACGACCACTTTTATTTTCCAAGCACCAAGTATAATTAAATACCATCTTTTTGAAAAGATATTGGATGAACCACATTTTTTAAAGAATAAATTCATCAATATGTACATATGTAGTATATCTAATATTGCTGTGGAAGACATTTCCATATACTTTGCTTTTAAATCTATTAACATTGAATAGTTCGTTACATACTTAAAAAATATCAGAGAATAACATCTTACATCGTTTACTTAAAAAATGTTCATATGAAATAAGCCAGAGGTGCTCTTGATTTTCAAAAAAATTTTAATGATAGTTTTTAAATTTTAAGATAAAAAGGTAAAAGTCGAAGTTCACTCTTTTGATATAACAAGAATTATTTGGTTTTACTAATTTTTCTGTTATTACAATAAACGTGCCCGTAATCAGTACTCGTAACAAACAGATTTAAATATTTACTTCAATAGAATCTGGATAAGAGAAGTTTTGATAAAAAAAAACCTTTTTAGTTAAAAATATTTTTCTAGTTAGTAAATTTTCCTCTATGACCAGGATTCTTATGTACTCTATATAAGTGCAACAAATATTGTGAATTTTCAAATCAACAAATTGAAATTGTGAACAAAATTGTGTGAATTGATCACACAAATATTTATGAAAGCTGTTCATAAATTGTTCAGTTGGAATGGAAAAATTGGGCCTGCAAAATAGCATGTGTAAGTAAGGTGCTTTATGGAAAAGACTTCGGCAAGAAAAATGTTGTTTTAAGACGGCCCAGAGTTACGAGAAACTTAATAGCAGTTGAATTGGAGGATTTAACAAATCGATTAAAGTAACTATTCGATCTTTTATTATAAAATAGTTTCGACATAGCTAATACTTTAATAGCCTCTCAAACAACAAACTGGCATGTGTCCGATATAGTTTCAACATTTTCATTATTTCCGATCATTCTTGACTAGGTAATTTTTATCTAGCTTGGAACTTCATAGAAGATTTAAGAGGTGCCCCAAAAATTTAAAAGAAAAAGTATTCAAATGAAAATTACCGTAACAGCGACGGCTGCTTTAATTTCCTACCTAGTCTACAAAGACTACTGGATCAACATAAAATTTTTTTCTTAAAAGGATGGAAAAGACATTGCACGAGCACATAATTTAGCCTAAAACTCTATGCTCTACCACAAGATCTGATTCAGAATATGCAGAAGGCGTTGGGAGCCAAGCAAATACCACCTATCAATCTATTATAAATGTGGCTAAAAAGCGGAGTCGGGCTATCCACAGAAAGATTTGACGGGACTGTAATTGTAAAAATCGTAAATAGAATAAAAACAGAGAAATAAAAAATTTCAGGTCGTTGAGCATTTCAAATCAAATCCGGCTCTTTCTCATCATCGAGCATTTCAAATTAAATTCCACACTTTCTCATCGTCGAACAATTCAAATTATATCCGAAATTTTGTTATCAAATTTGTTGTTTTCTACACTGGCACTGTCCTAGCCATTTTCCTTTTATGATTTTTAAAAAATGTATAGAGTTTATATGAAGAAAAAAACAAATATCACTGTCCTTTTATGTTTTAAGTCATTTACATCTAAAAAATAGAAAAAATAAGCCAAGAAATATATTTATATAAATAAAGTTGAGAGTTTTATTTGGAAGTTTGCAAAAAAAATTGTCGAAAGAAGAAAATTTGCATTCAAAATAAATTTTAATAAAAATACATACATATATTTCTTAAAATTATAGAAAAACAATTGATACGGACAAGATTTTCTCATTGCCATTTAAAAGGGTACTAAGTTAAATTATGAAGAGAAAATCAAAATACATAAATTTTAAATTGAAAAATTTTTATAGAGTAAATTCACCAAACTCTTAGCATATTTTCCTTTTATTACAAAACTTTTCTGAAAACATGTTTATATCCAAGAAAACATTAGGTATTTTAAATAATCAGTACTAACTGAGAATTAACAAAATATCTTCGATAAGAACTTTGAAATCAGCCAAAATAGGATGTTTAATGAAAAAAAGTACGTTCGAAAGTCGTAGTATGTCTAAATTTCTAAAACATTGTCAAAATTTTTGTTTATATGCTGTAAAATTATTCCAAGTTAGAAAAATATCATAGCAAAGAAAAAAAATCTGATGTGGTCAGCACATAACCGACCGCAATGTGTATTGTGACCGCGTTGTGTATACAATAGGTAGGTTATATGATAGCAATAAATTTTGCATATCGAATTTTCGGTAGGAACGCACTTTTCCATGGTAGGGAAGTATAAATAAACTATTTTTACCAACCTGTGGGTCTGTCGCTCTGTCTGTCCGTGTGTATCTCAAGTTCGGCTGAACCGATTTTGATGAAATTTTACATAAAAGCTTACTTCGACTATGGCACGGATTGATCAACTTTTGGTACATGTCAGGCCTCGGGAACTGCACTTTTTAGCAGGCCTGTTTTACATTTTTGATCATTATATAAAAAGAAATATTTTGATCAGCGTATATAAAGAGAAATAATAAATCGATTTCCCTCAAATTTGATACTTAAATTCTTCGTATTAAAGCAATGAACATATTTTTTGGAAAAATCAGGGCTCGGAAACTAATCTGAGGGCCGATTTTATATTTTTTACCATTTACCTTTTTTGATATTTGAGTTCTGGTTGTCACCGAAACTAACTGGCGAACATTTCAGGGAATTCGGGTAACACAAAGCGAAACTCTACTAAGAGCCAAATTTACATTTTTCTAGGTATGTTAACTAAAAGCTTATTAATGCCCTAAAAATTGCAAAGAAGTATTTAATAGGCATTTTTATAATATTCTGTAACAACTTCACTTAACTTAACAGTACACATTTAATTTTTTGTGAAATACTTTTATAAATTACGATCAAACGACTTTGTTGACAGATAGTTTCATCAAATACTACAGCCTCAATAACATGCTTGCTTGTGTTAAATTTCTGTACTGTATCAACTATCGTAAGCGTTTAATATTAAAGATCGAATCCTATTTAAATTTCTGATATTCACTACTATAAATCATTTTTAATTTGGCCAGTTTTTTAATTTTTGGCCAGTTTAATTCAATTAGCTTTTCAATTATCGTTGGGATAGACTTACGGCCAGACATGGTTTAATCGACATAGAATTATTCGTCGATCAAAAACATAAATCTATATCTACATTTATGTTTATATCTCAAACCATTATTTCTTAGTCTTAGAAGCATTAAGACAAATTTACAATATCCTTAACAACGTTCATACGGGTGCGGGTTATTATATATATAATAAAAGTGGATGAGTTCATATTTGAACGATTGAAGCCCTAGTGCTGACATTTTACATATACGAATATATTAATGTAGTCATCATTTTCATATATAGTTCGTCGAGATTGTATAACTTTATACATAAGCTATCATACATCTTCAAAAATTATGCAATCGTTTTGAAATAATTAAAATTGACTGCAATTATAATAAAGTTGGATTGAATTAATTGTTTATAAAGTAGCACTTTTCCCTTTCAACAAGCACTCTTAAAAATACGAGTACATAGACTATTTGTATTTGTATAAATTTTTAATTTTTCCTTTATATAATGTAATATTTCTCTTAGTTTTTCGTGATAAATCCAGACAATTTTCTACACATCAGTTCTTACCTAGGACTAGGTTTTCGGGCTTTAGTATTGACTCGGGTATGGTTAAAAAATACCTGGATGGTCTTGCCTCATGTTTGCTTCCAGGGCGAGATGGCGTCCCCAGATAATTTTAAAGAATTGCTCTGCATCGCTGGTTGTCCGGCTAGCTTACATTTTTAATAAAACATATTTGTCGCTAGTTCTTCCATCTCTTTGGAAGAAAGAACTTATAACGCCAATACATAAAAGGGAGTCTAGGGCTTAATGAAACATAATTCCTTTTACGACCATTGTACGCAATTAATTATAAAAGTCAAAACGGTATTCTGAAACCCACTGTTACCAATCTGGTTGCGGCAATTTCAATTTTCAAACGTTGGCATTTCAAGACAAACGTTGGCATGGATTCAAGTCGGTTTCATATTTTCCTTACATGTGAAGCTGTAAATGCTAAGAAATGCCCTCTAAAAACATCAGCTCTGCCAACAAATCCGACTCTCACCTCCCCAAAGCTAGCTAAGATAGCTATCATAGTTAAAAGACATAGTTAAAAGAACTACCCAACTAGAACAGCTCTATATGGCTTTGAAAAACGAGGTTCTTCACCTGAGGACCGATGGAGCACGCCGAAAGAAACACTTTCAGTGACGGCCGCGTTCCGTCGCGAGCAGGCAGGCAAGTCTGTCCCCCACGGCGGAAGAAGGCAAACCGCAGAAAGGCAGCGGCTGCACAAAGTCAGCCCCAGATCCCCTCCGCGCCAGCCTATCGGCAACTTCGTTGCCCGCATGGCCACTGTGGCCCGGCACCCAAATGAGCGTCACTCTGTTCTCTGATACCAATTCCATAGATGCAGTAAGGCAGCCCCAGACCAACTTGGATGTAACCTGAGCTGAACGAAGCGCCAGCAGTGCAGCCCTGCTGTCCGAGAACACATAGATGGCGCAGTTTCCATACCCCCTTTCTAAATTGATTCTCAGACAGATCTCTATTACATTTATTTCGAAACAAAGCCTGGAACACTGTGCAGTTCGGGTCAAGGGTTGCATATACACGCGTGTCCGGACACCGTATACGCCCGAACCCACACCCGACTCCGTTTTGGACCCGTCAGCGTACCACACGCTCGAACCCGACCTAAGTACCGGGCCAC